GTTTCTCTCTCTCTCTCTCTCTCCATCAAGCACATACACCCTAGAGCAAACTAAAAAACAAACAAAAAAAATAACACCACCACCACCACCACAAAACACACACACAGGAAAAAAACAAAACCAGTAGTATGTACATACCAGAGAACAGAAGAAAGTAAATAATGTCAATGATACAGAGATTATGGGAGGTGTAAATCCCTAGGAGCGATGTAAAAGGTGAAAATGAGGTGTACTTATTGTCATGGTTGTTAGGAAAAAAAAATCAAACCTGCAAATTTACTCAAAATATTGTTTAGAGAAAGACAGTGAAAAGAAAAAGAGGGGGTGATTTAAGGAAAAATATTATGTAAACTAAAGTGAGGGGTAATTAAGATGGCAAGCCATCATGAAAGTGTAGGCAAATTCTCATATTCCAGGAAAAGTAAGTTTAGGCATTTGGGTTAACTCTGAGTCCTTACACTCAGATCTGAGACTTGGTAATTCATTCACCTAGTCAGCCTCAGTCTCTTACTCTATTAAATAGAGTGACTATCATTGAATTTCATGTATTTCCTGTAAATATTAAATAAGGCCACATTCAAAGGTAAAAATGATTTGCAAACCATAAAAATCTCTATATAAACAAATTGCACTAGTAAGTATGGTTAGAAAGGTTATTAATCTTCCATAGGCTGTGGATGTTCCAAATTTTATAGCAGTAAAAATGTAAAAAGAAGTAGGAAGAGGCTAGAAAATGTAGGGCTTGCAGCAGCCTTATAGTTTTAAATTAATTCAGTATTAAATTCTGGCTCTGAATCATCATAACTTTGATCTTCAGTAATCTCATATGAAAAGTAGATATAATTTTACCATCATCAAAATATTTCTCTCTTTTTAAAAAATTTGCATGTCTGTGTTTGCCAGAGAGTAAAGGGGGGTTGGGAAAGTGAGAAATCACCCACAGAGGGAGATGGCCATGCTGCAATTCCTTCTCTTCTATTTTCCTCTCAGGATTTTGGGCACTCATGTACCCAGCATGTTTTTCAGGCTGCCAGGTTCGAGACTCGAACCATGCAGTTGACCATCTGGGATCCAGTTGCTTTAACCATCATGCCACCAGTAGGCCCATGCCATCAGAATATTTCCAAGAGTTAAGCAACACATGTAAAGCTTGTGGCACACATATGCTCTAAACATAAAAGCAATTATTGGCATTATTATTACCAAGTAGAGTGAGTTGAACTAGAATTAGTTGCCAACATGACTTTCAGGTTTCTAAACTCTGGCAGATTAACTAAAAAGTAGAAAATACAAGGAGAACTCCAATACAAGGCAATTTTGAAAATTGCTCTCATAAAAATTCTTAAGAAAAGCAAACATTCTAGGAAAAGTTCTCTTTGATAGCAAGAACATGACCCCAAGTAACTGTCTTGGTAAATAGGGAGTGTCACATGTCGTAGTTATCGTTCTGTGGTTTATCCTAGTTGGGGCCTGGAAGTCTAGGCCTTGATTAGAAATTGACGAGAGAATACAAAACCATGAAGTTGGTGACCAAGGAGCTTTGGGAGAAAGACAGATGGTGAAGGCCAAGACCCACAAATATGCCATGGTTCCACAACAAGTGAACAAATTTGGACATCACATGTGATTTTTTTTCCCTTCATTTTTGCCAGAGGCTATGTGTATGTGTGTGAGAGAGAGCGAGAGAGAGGAAGAGAGAGAGAAAGCATCCCCCCACCACCAATGAGAAACCGTCATGTCTATAATAACCCTTCCTCCATTTCTTCCTCTTCTCAGGATTTGGGGCACACATACACATGTACCTGGTGTGTGTTTCAAGCCACTGGGGGTGGGATTCAAACCACAGTCAGCCATGTGAGATACAACTTTCTATGCACAGCACTTTACCACTTTGCTGTGGACCCAGCCCCACACTGAGAATTTTTAACATAAAATCTCACGCCAGCTTTGCAGAGCTCAGAGCTAAAGACCGTGTTTATATCATTTATGCTTCTAGAGTTACTTTGAACGCTGAGCCTCTGCTTCTGTGATTTTACTTTGGTAACTATATTACCAACTGTAAATCACGTGACTGCTTGGCCCTTGGCTGTGGCTTGCACATTACCAATGTTCAGCTAAGTGTGATAGCCTGAGCTCTGTGGTTAAACGTTCATACTATAGAATCAGACGGTCTGGGTTTGAATCAACTTCACCTTCTCTTCTTACAACCTGCATGACCTGAGGTGTGAGTCACTTACTTTAAGTACCTTCCCTATAAAATGGGAATGACATGAATGCTTTGCTTTTAGGTCTTTTGGTGTTGGTGCAAGGTTGAAATGACATGGCATTTATAAAATGCTTGGAACAGAAATTATTGCAGAGCAAATCCTCCATGAATATAAGCTGTTGTCACTGCAAGAAGTCACCTCCAAGGCCAGCAGATGGTATAGTGGTTAGAGTGCAGGACTCCCACCTGGCCAACCACAGTTCGAGCCCCAGACCCAGTGGCTTGAAAATCATCCCCAGTGTGTGTGCATGCATGCCCAAAATCCTGAGGGGAGAATGGGGGAAAAGGGATTGTGGCATGACAATCCCCACTAGAGGGGTGATTTCTCACTTTCCCTTTCTCTCTGTCTCTCTCCGATGAGTGCATGTGCCCTAAGGCAAAAACTTAAAAAACAATTTAAAAATTTTAAAAAAAAATGAAGTTAGCTCCCTAAACTAGCAATTCTCAAACTTTAGTTGCACTGGGAGCACATGGAAAACTTGTTTACCAGGCTCCCTTGGCCCCATCTCTTTAGTGTCTAGATTCACTGGGTCTGGGATGGAGCCTGAGGTTTTGTGTTTTTAACAGGGTTCAGGATGCTGATGCCGCTGGTCCCAGGAATGTATTTTGAGAACCATTGCCCTAAAACCTTCAGACCATATTCTTACCAAAAGCTTAAAGTGATATACCTAGAGAGAATGAAACAAAGTCATTTTAGTCATCCTAATTAAAGTTTGTGAGTCAAATTTTGGGAACCCCATATAGAATTACAGGAGCTATTAAACCTGGTCAAGGTGGTAAAGGTAAAAGTAATCTTTTTTTTTCTTTTTTTTTTGAGAGGTTTTTGCTATAGGGCTTGTGCACTCACCAGAAAGACAGAGAGAGACAGAGAGACAGGAAGCGAGAAATCACCCTCCAGGTGGGATGGCCATGCCACTGTCCCTTCTCTATTTTCCTCGCAGGATCCTGGGCGTACACGCACATGCACCCAGCGTGAGTTTAAGCTACTGGATCTGGGACTCGAACCACGGTCAACTACATGGGAGTCCAGTGACACAGCCATTACGCCAACTGCTGGTCCTGGTAAAGGTAATCTTAATGACATCTCTGCTTGAGGGAAGTGCAATCCAAGCAAAAATAGTAGTATTTCAATCCACTTCTCTGGCAATCGCTTTCAAAAGGGTGGTTTCTCTAAAATATATACATTGGGATATTAAAAAAAAAAAAATTTCTGACATGCCCAACATGGATGAACCTGGAGGACATTATGCCAAGGGTGATAAATACACTGCATGATCTCACTTATACACGGAATCTGAAAAAGAGTGAATTGTACAGAAATAGAGAATAAAACAATGGCTAAGGAGAGAGGAGGGGGAGGAGGGAATGGGGGGGGGGGGATCAGAAGATACAAAGCAGCATGGGGCCACAAGTGACATGGTAGTTGAGGCTCCAGACTCCCACATGGCTGACTGTGGTTTGAGTCCTAGACTTGGCTGCCTACTTTCTCACTTTCTCTATCTGGTGAGCACATGTGTCCTATAGCAAATTAAAATAATGATCATAATAATAAATAAAATTAAATCACTCATTTTAAAAAGCAGCAGACATACAGGATGGGTAAGTCTAGAGAACTAACACACACGAGCACATGGTCAATTGTACTGCACTTGTGAGTCCTGCTATGAGGGTAGGTTTTAGTGGTCCTTTACACAAAAACAAAAGCCAAAAGTGGGTAGCTATGTGAGATGATGGATATGTTCATTTGTTTCACTACATTCACTACTGACTGTGGCCAGTACCTTCATGTTGTCTGCCTTACATATATGCAGTAAGTTTTACTTTTAAAACAAAAGAGGGGGAACCAGCAGTTAGTGTAATGGCTATGTCGCTGGACTCCCACGTAGTCAACCACGGTTCGCGTCCCAGACCCGGTGGCTTAAAACTCACGCAGGACGCGTGTGCGTGCGTGCCCAAGATCCCGAGAGGAGAATGGAGGAGAAGGGATTGCGGCATGACCATTCCCCGCAAGGGGGGTGACCATTCCCCGCAAGGGGGGTGATTTCTCGTTTTCTGTCTCTATGTTTCTCTCTGTCTGGCTGGCGAGCACATGCGCCCTATAGCGAAAATCTCCCCCTCCCCCCCCAAAAAAAAGCAAGAGGAATTTATCCCATTGAGCCAAAGGAAACCTTCAAAGTACAGGTGTCACACGTCATTAACGCTAATTCTCAGTCTCTCAGCAGAACTACCGCTGCAGGACCCAGGGCAGCTAGCAGTGACTGAAGCCCACCTGTCGGCAGGTGAACCGGTCCAGGAGGAACAAAAAGCCACCCGGATTAGACATGCAGGACACAGCCCTGGGGATTCTAAGCAGAGGTGGAAGCCGCACGAGCGTGAATAAGCCTTCCGCACTCCCTGAAAAACGGAGGGGCTCGGCCAGTCCCCAGACACCGGAGTCAACGTCACTCCCGCTCCGCCCTCTGTCCCAGGGCTCAGGACAGTCTCCACTACTACGAGCTGCAGAGCTGGGGGACGGCTGGCGCTGTGAGCCCATTGGTCGCCAGGGCAAAGAGGTGAGCGGCTCGGCCAATCCTTTCCTCCCACGGGCATGGCCCTCCACGCCCCTGGGGCAGCCAAGGGCTTACGTGGGACTGGAGCAAGGGCCAGCCGCAGGGGCTGGCACTGAGGCGGTGGGACTGGAGGGCTGAGGGGCTGCAGGAAGAAGAAGGGGGGAAGGCAGGAGTCGGGGAGGGGAGAGGGCGGAAGGGGGGTGATAAAGCAAACAAGAAGTCACTTTTTTCGTGGCTACTGCCAGGCAAAAAAGAAACATGAAACACACCACACACACACACACACAGGAAAATTAGACGGAGACCATTACTGTAGAAACCTATAGCAAAGTTTTCCAAAAGAGACACTCTGAGGAAAAACTCCTGGGACCCGGGGGGCTAAATAGAGTGATAGTTAAATTGAAGTGATAACTGTAAGGAGAACTAAACCAAACTCTAGAGGGAGGAGAAAGGAAATTAAAAAGCCTCCCCTTTGCCTTTTATTTCTGTAGCAGCAGACACGAGCCATAATAAAGGACGCTGGTGCATGCATGTGGGCACCAGCTGGGCACCCGGGAGATGGGGTGCCTCCGGGTCACTAAAGAGTGTCACCCCTGAGCTGCAAGCCAGAAAGAACACACGTTTGCTTCCTTTGGGAGCAGAGCATTCTTCCTAACACAGGCTTGGACACATTTTCCCATTGCCTGGGAAGATTTTTCTCTTCGCCTATGTCACCAGGACTCAGGACCAAGGAAGAAGAGCTCAGGTACTGTCAATTCCGTTGTCACTGTACACGCTGGCAGGTTTAAGTCTGTGAGAGTGCATGATCTGTATGTTCTTCTTCCCCCTCGGATGGTCTTAAATAAGGCTCACACGGGCATACCCAGAACTTCTGACATCTAGCTGAACAAAAAAATTACTTCCATTCTGATCGTCCTTCTTGGCTCATCTTAAAGATAATCAGATAGAAATGTTGCCTCTATTCCTATGAGTTAATTTAAAATATTCATATTCAGGTGGTTACAGTACCAAAAGTGGTTGTGTGATAATACATTTGAACTCTGGCTAAACTATAATCATTCTTTTACCTCTATATGAAGATGCAAGCAACTTTGCATCCATGCATCAGGTTGTCGGGAAAGTCATGACGTATTTTTTTAAATGTTTTTCTATGCAAAAACGCACCAAGACTTTCCAGACGACCCAATATTTTATACTTAAAGGCTGATTGACAGTAGAATCTCAAATCACTCTATTCCAAGTTACACTGACTTTCAAATTATGAAGCTTTTTCTTAGGAAAGCATACTAAAGATTTTGTTTCAGTCCTCCGATGTATATGCTGAACTAAAGGAGGGAATTAGGTTTGACCCCTGAACTTGTCCCACATGTGGGGAACAGGCAGCATTTTTCTGACAAGCTGAGCTTATTTCTTCCCTGGGAATGCTCCCCTGTCTCCATGGCAGGCATGAGGAGAAGGGACCGTGGAAAGGGGCAGTGGGATGTTCTAAGCAGAACAAAAACAGAGAGCCTCATGCCTGCAAGGGTCAGCTTAGCCCATGCAGAGTGGAAACAAGGCTCAAACACTCAGTAGGTCAGTTCCCATTGCCTGTGGTCATTACGTGGCAGTGAGGTGCCCAATGTGTCTTTATTGGCAAGGGTCTCAGGACATGTTAGAAAGAAATTTATTCAGCCTTCCAGAGGGTTATTATAGCCCTTAAAAATGTTTTCGAAGATTTAATAAAGTGAAAAAATACACACATTACCTATAAGATTGATAAAATGTGGTACAGAATTAAGTTTGATCATACACGCACACACAATCTATATGAAAAGGCTGGAAAGGAACATGGCAAACTGTGAATGATTATATCTGGGTGGTGATATTAGTCTTTTTTTCTGCTTAAACTTTCCATATTTGCTACACTGTGTATGTATTGCTTTCACAATCAATTTTTGGAGAGTTAGTGAACTAATGTGTAAACAAGAAACTAAGCCTTGTGAATTTCAGCTGTCACAATGTCTTTCTTCATTACGGTCTCCAGTTCCCCTCTTAATGAATCCCTGAGTAATAGGGATTGCTGTTTTTCATTAAGAAGTGAGAGGCTGTGAAGAAATTTCCACAATAATAAATATCTCACTTGATCATAAAGCTTCGTGTGAGGTCAGCACACACTATGGTTTTTTTTTTTTTTTGAGAGGTTTTTGATATAGGGTACATGCCCTCCCCAGAAAAACAGAGGAGAAAACA